GGCTACCTGCGCGGCGGGGCCGCCGGGTCGGGCGGGCGGTCGAGAGCCTGCCGGGCAGGAGGGGAGCGAGGCGCTTCCCGGAACCGGCCGGCTAGTGTGATTTTGGGCGGGTCCAAATTTTGTCCGTCCGAGTCCGAGCTCAAATATTGAACAGCTTCCCTAGCCGGCCGGTTCCGGGAAGCGCCTCGCTCCCCTCCTGCCCGGCAGGCTCTCGACCGCCCGCCCGACCCGGCGGCCCCGCCGCGCAGGTAGCCAGCTCCTGCAGCGGATGCGGACAGCGTCGGCGCCGATCATTTAGGCCCCTTTACGCCCCACCCCGGTGAGTTTTGTTCAATTCTGTCGTCAACTAGCCCATCCTCACACCTTTCCGAGTCCGTCGATACCAAATTTTCTGCAATCGGCCCCACTGTAGAGCCTGCAGAGCGTGCCAAGCACTCTGAGGAGGGGGGTCACGGGCGCTGCAGTACGTACTCCATTTAAGCTATCCTCTCTAGCCGCTACGCTTGAGTTTACGTTTGCGACGGCGGACATCTTGGATATCCCGTCCGCGCGGACTGAGGTGGACACGGACGGCCGCCGGTGCGGACATACCGAACGCGTTCAGTGAGGAGGGCATCTTAAAAGTAAGTCAGTTGTAAACCAGCTTACCTTTACTGTAGCGCAACTGTAAGACGTGCTGCTGAATGTGTGTGACGTAACCTCAATCTCGTGAGACGCGGCGACGACGTGTCAGATCAGAACCCGAGCCCGAGGTGGAGTGGACGTGGACAACAACAAACGACTGCAGCCACCGCTGGCGATTGCGGTCTGCGTCTGCGATCTCCTCGCTGCGCTGGTCGCACACAATGCCATCTGTCGGTCGGCTACGACACTACGCCGCTGGCTCCTTGTCGCAACTCGTCAATGATTCTCGTACCAAGAAGATCTAAAAAGTCTCTATCTCTCTCAATGATTCACGTACTCGGGATCCGACGAACCGACCCTACGTGTCGTTCGTGATTTTGCTGCTAGTCTACGTAATTATTGTTTTATTAAAACATCAAAACAAGTAATGCATTGCGTCTACTTTGTTTCTCCGGCAAGGTCTAGTCTAGTCCACCTTGGAGGTTGGCACAGGACGCGTTGTTCAGCCCTGTGGCCGCTGAGTAGACGTTTGTGCAGGTATACCATCGTTTACGACTCGAGTGTTTTGTCTGGAGTATTTCCCTCTTAGTCAGAAGGTACGTTGCGTTAGTGATTCGACAAACTGAGTAGATGAAACCGTCTTTACTTCGAAGTTTTGAGGTTATGTTCCCCACGTCCAGTTGTTATCTAAGTCTCCATAATATTTGTCAGGAAATTTTACATAAGATAGAACTGTAAGCTGTCCCTAAGTCGTTGTCACTTTAGGTCACAGTTAATTAGGTGTAATAAAATTTAATTTTTTAAAGGGACCATTTACAAATTACGTTACGCGTTGGGGGACATTTTTGACCCCCCCCCTTTCATCACGCACACATCACATAAAGCCCCCCTCCCATTCCACGTGACGTCCCTTTTTGAACGAATCAAAAATGTACCAGAAAAAATATGCACGATTACAGTATAAATTTCAGTTTTTAAAAGCAAAATGATGTACTGTCAATAGAGTTTAATAAATGATGTGGCTTTTTACCTTTATTTTAACTGAGCTCAGCTGAGGATGAGCCTCATGTTAGCCACAGATTGTTAACTGCATGCATATAGCGCTCCCCACCCTGCCCACCTCACAAACTGCGTGACGTCACAATCTCGTTGACTCCTACCTCGTCACACGTTTATCTTGCCTTTTGCCCAGACCCCCTCCCCCCACCGCGTGACGTATTTTGTGCACGGCCCCTAAACTAATGCGCTTTGAGTTGGGGATCCACATGTATAATCCCCCCCACCCCCTCACTGGGAAAAATACAATCAAGCAGCAGGAGGGCGATCAGAAAGCTCCCGGAAAACGTTCTTCCATCTCGTTCCATCGCCTCCTCCCGACACTCGACTCACGGCAGCACTGCGCTAACGGCGGGGTAGAAGTGTAGCAAGACGTCATTCGTCTGCGTACTGACGTGTCAACACCGGTCGTTTGTTGTAGGTTCGAAAGTGAGTGATCCCGCTGGTCAGTTCATGAGGACCCTACCCCTACCCGCTACAGTCTTGCCATGACCACCACCGAGCGACCGGCCTTGCACTTGCACCGTCTTCCAGACGACGTCCTGGTGCTGGTGATGCAGCGCCTCGCCGTGGACGACCTCCTCGCCTGCCGCCTGGTCTGCAAGCGCCTCGGCGGCCTCGCCCTGCAGCCGGACGCCTGGCGCCACCGAAGGCTCGACGACGACAAGCCCTGCGTGTGCGCGGTGCTGGGCCTGGCGCCGTGCCTGGACAAGGCCGTCTATAGCAAGAAGGTGCACACCACAGCGTTCATGACGACGAGATGTGCCGTCAGACATTTGACACTGATCATCAAAAAGGGCACTGAATGCGCACGGGCCTGCCTGGCGGTCCGCAACCAGGAAGCACTCGGCCGTCTGAGGAACGTGGAGCTAGAAGTGTGGCGTTCTCCCGAGGACGTAGCGCCCCTGGACGATGCCGACGCGCTGTTAAGGACACTAGTGGCGCTTTCTCCTGGCTTGGAATCGCTTGACCTTCTGAACGGCCTACCTACGCCTTATGCGATGCGCCCTGTTCTCCACGGGCCGTGTCGGCCGTCCTTGAGGTACTTCCGATGCGCGCTCTCGCAAAGATATGAGAACTTCGTGAACACCGTGCTGGCCGGACACGCGGCTACACTTCAGGAGGTCCACCTCGGCCACGATCACTGCGAAGAGAGCACGCTTGAGCTGTTGGTCGGCATGTCCGAACTAAGGGCGCTAACGTGCAGGTTGTGCCCTGGGATGCGGGCTCTGGCCTCGTGTGAGATGCTGAGGGACGTGTCCTTCTCCATGTTTCGAAAAGACACCCCTGAAACTGTCGTGCAAGTGAAAGGGCTTGCCGATTTCTTCCGACAAGCCGGCCAGCTGCGCACAGTCTCCATCGAATTTAGGTATGGCGATTTCGATTTTGAAAACTTCGACGATCTTATGGCAGCCCTTGCCTCGTCCGGAGAGTCCCTCGTGCACCAGTTGTCCGTCGTCAACCTCCCCTACGCCGCGCCGCTGCTGAGCGCGCTGCCCCGGCTGCCCGCCCTCCGGGTGCTGGGCGTGTTGAACTCGCCGCTGATCGACTTTGATCTCGACGTCGATACCGTGGACGAGCTCCTGGTGGGCCTCACGGCGCCCAGCCTGCGCAGGCTCGAGCTGTCGACGCTGGACACCGACGGCTGCCTCCACGAGTGGCTGCACCGGGACGAGGTGGCGCGGGTCCTCACCGCCAACCCCTCGCTGCACGTGCACGTCTGGGGCACCCACGGCTGCCGCAGGTAAGGGGTCCTTCACTACTGTATTGTACACCGATTTTTCTGTTTTTCTCAATTTTTTGTGATTTTCTCTTGATTTTTTGTGATTATTTCATGATTTTTGATGATTTTTTCGTAATTTTTTCTACGGGTGTATACTGATTGTTTTTGAATGGAGGACTCCTCGGCTGCAGGTGGGAGCGTTGCGAGGAGTGCGCGCTGGGCTGCCACCGAGAGGTGACCGGGGACTACAGGAAGGGGCGCCGGGTCGGCTTGTTCTCGCACGGCCCCGGGAAATGCACGCACCCAGAGGACCACATCACCGGCGACAAGTGGACCTGGATACACATTCGCTGCGTTTCTGGCTGACTTCTGTTAAATACAGCTGATTATTTTGCTTGTATTATTTTCATGTTGCTGAAGCATGATGAATATTTTGTTTGTATTATTTTCATATTTGTGAAAATGTTGTTCAATAAATAATTTTTCGTTACTTTAGTCGATTGCCGTTTTCGTTTTATCAGATAGGCCTTGAAATACATGTGAAGCCACCAAAGTTCGATCAGATAGGTCAGCGGTGTTCCATTTCGAAACTCGGGGGAAAACGCGTTAATCCTGCGAGCATGCTGCGAGTCGTCGGTCACTTTGGAAAACACGATTCTGGAAAGGGGACGCCCTTGATAATCCGACAAGGCTTCATTGGTGGCCGGTGGGGTAAGCTGGTCATGACCGTTATAAATAATGCGTCGTCGGACGAAAGATACACTAGAAAACCAAAGGTGCCGAGCAGCACGTTTAAGATGTGATAATAGTTGAGAGCCTACCTAACAGGCCCCGAACACCAGGCAGGGATACAGTTAATACGTGCATGCATGTGTTCACCTAGTTTAGCTTAGAAAAGAAAACAAACATTTCCATTCAACGCTGCTCATTTTATTTTTCACCGTAAAAAATATATTCTCAAAATGAAACAAACCCCCATTAATTACGATTGCTTATCACCAACTCAAAGTACACAAAGTAGAACTGGTATCACTCCACAGTAATGCAACTAATGTGGACCCACGCCCACTTGGAGCCGAGGGTGTGGTACTCCGGGGAGGAGCACTCGTCGGGGTCGTGGGAGAACAGGCCGAGCCGCGACTCCGCACCCTCTGGAGACCAGCGGGCCCGGGGCGCCGGCTCACGGACGTGCAGCAGGGGGTTCTCGGTGAGCAGCCACTCCACGGCAGGACCGTGCGGCCAGCTGTGGTCGCCGGGCCGGGTGCTGCGGACGGCGTCGACGTGGAAATGCGACAGTGACAGCTCGAGCAGCCGCAGGGCCGGCGTCGTGGTGGGCGTGATGGCCTCCAGCAGCTCGTCCATGGCGTCCTCGCTGAGCGCCGCCTCCGGCAAGCGCAGCTCCCGAAGCGCGGGGAGCTGGGGCAGCGCGTGCACCAACAGCCCCAGGTCTCTGCTGGAGCAGATGACGGACAGCCGCTCCACGAGGGGTCGCGCGGACTCCAGGGCCCACATCATGGCCTCGAGGTCCACGTCGGCGTGGACACTGCGGGACACGTCTATGGACACAGCGCGGAGCTGGTGCGCCAGGCGCAGGAGCTTCGCGGCCCCCTCGCGGGCGCGTTTGTAGGAGTCGTCGTTGTGGCCGACGAGGCTGTGGGTTGTGGAGACGAGGGTCAAGTCAGAGAGCGTCCCGCACTCTGCCAGGATCTCCATCTGCGGAAACACTTCGCACTTGAGCTTCCGGAGTCGGGGCATGGCAAGGGCGAGCAGGGTGGCCGTGGCCGCGCTGCTGCGGTGGCCGTCGTCGAGGTCGACCTCCTCCAGGGTGGCGGCGTGCCCGGCCAGCATGGCGTTGACGAAGACCTCCCCGCCCACCGAGAGCGCGCTCCGGAAGTACTTCAGGGACGAACTTGGCAGCCCGTAAGGCACGGGGCGCCGCTGGACATAGGGGTCGGGAAGGCCGCGATTTAGGTCAAGCGACTCCAACCGAGAGGAACACTCTGCTAATGTCTTCAAAAACTTGTCGGCAACGGCACGGACTGGAAAGGTCTCGATAACATATGGAAAATACCACACCTCCAGTTCCACGCCTCTCAGACGGCCGAGCGCCGCCTGGTGGCGGAGGGCCAGACAGGCCCGGGGGCAGTCGGTGGCCTCTCTGATGTGCACCACCAGGTGCCTCACGGCGCACGTCGTCGCGAGGAACGCCCTGGTGTGCACCAGCCGGCTGTAGACGGCCCTGTCCAGGCACGGCGCCAGGCTCAGCACCGCGCACACGCAGTGCTTGCCGTCACCAAGGCGTTGCCGGCGCCATACTTCCGGTTGCAGGGCGAGGCCGCCGAGGCGCTGGCACACCAGCCGGCAGGCGAGGAGGTCGTCCACGGCGAGGCGCTGCATCACCATCAGCAGCATTTCGTCCGGCAGCTGCTCCAGGGTCGGCTGCTGCTCGGCGGACATGGCGAGGAAACTGCACCGACTCCTGGAACACGGCGTCGACAGCGTCAGCGCTGAAACTTGGACCTCTTATCGCACACACTGTTTCGCATCCGGACTCGTGATGTCGGCCTGGCCTTACCTGGGATGTACAGTACCGCGGAGATGAGCTGCGAGCGACGGCGCTGCTCCGAGCTGGAGGACCTGAGACTGGAGGCAGACCTGGCAGGTCTGACCTGCTCTGCGTTGCGGCTGCGACCTGTCGACTACTACCCGGTCAGCCAACTAACCAGAACCAGAGACCTCGGCCTCCCCTTCCCCTACCGGTGCCAGGTCCGCACCACCGGCTGCTCGCCAGGATCCCGTCGTCCAGCCAGGCGTCCGCTCGTCGAGGCCGTAGCCGTAGCGCCCAAATCCCTCAGTGCACGAGCAAGGTCGAGCGGAGCGCATGGGACCCCCGGGAACCCCCGAGCCGAAGGATCTGGAATGCCCACAAGGCGGCCGACGACGCGTCAAGAAGCTAAGGGCTGCGGCGGCGTTGGATGAAGAACGCACTGCTGAGGCCTGCTGCCCCCGACCAGCCGAATAAACTCCCGCAGAGCGTCTCGAGGGGGTACCCCTCGACCTTCACTCATTGACCCCACCGTCAGGCGCGAGCGTGCGATCGCCCCTTCGCCCCCCCCCCCCCCCCGATCGGCCCAAATCGCCCCCTGGGGTAGGTAGACAATTCGTCCTACAAAACCCCTGAAAGTAGGCAAACCACAGCAAATCGCCCCCTCCGTCAGAAGGACTGAAAACCGCGCCTGCCCACCGTGCCGACTATAAAGTGCGAGTGCTGCAGTGAGTGCAGCAGGACGCTGGCTGTGGCCATGGCCAAGAGGGTCCCCCCCCCCTTTTCCCCCCAATCCCCAGCTGGGAAGAAAAGGAGGAATTCCAAGTTCCCGGCCCCATGGCGAGGGGCGGTTCCATGCATCCCTATTTGAGGTAGTGCAGGTGTAGGGTTTGAAGGTTTTGAGTAACGGTCGTGCGAACAACGCGAGGTGTAGAAACCATGACCAATTCAGCGTTCTTCTGACGAAAGCGAGGAGAAGGATACAGTCACCCGGTATCTACGTCACGTTGATTGGTTCTAAGAAAACAAAGGTGCTACTGCACCAGAGGAGTTCAAAGATAATTTTTGAGGCACTCGTCTTGATGCATTAAAATGAGCGTGCGCCAAGATTGCTAAACTTTGTTTCCTTGCGTAGTTTTGTTTTGACCTGTGGCCTTTTTTCTTGGGGGGAGGGGGGGGGCGGGCGTGTAAAGGCACTTATACCATTAGCACATAAAAAACGCACCCTGCTTAGTCATTTTGTTTTTCCAATGTTATCTTTGGTCTGGCGCAGCGGTTACGAGCAACTCCCTCCACCACACAGCCACTTATGAAGCGTTGCTGGATAATCGAGGGCATCTATGAGTTACTTTCCAGAATAATGTTGTTCGCGAAGTTACGTCCGGGAAGCAAGAATACGGTCGCAGAGCTATCGGACGTGCACAGAGACACTTTGATTTCTTTCCCCAGCGGCCCATTTCAGAAAGTACTGTCTGAATAGATATGGGAAATGTCTACATCAGTCTCTTGACAAGGCAAACTAGAGAATAACTTTGTTTCCGAAAAGAACATTTCAGACTAACGTTAAGAAAAGTCATTTATTAAACCACACTTCGACATTTATGAGAAATAGTATAGGCTAAACTAAATAACCTGCGTGCTGTATTTTACAGAGATCAGTCAGAATTGCAGTAAAAGTGTATCCAGGTCCACTTGTCGCCGGTGATGTGGTCCTCTGGGTGCGTGCACTCCCCGGGGCCGTGCGAGAACAAGCCGACCCGGCGCCCCTTCTTGAAGTCCCTGATCGCCTCTCGGTGGCAGCCCAGCGCGCAGGCCTCGCAGGGCCCGCCTCCTCTGCAGCCACGGGTGCCCCACACGTGAACGTGCAGCGAGGGGTTGGCGGCGAGGACCCGCCCCACTGCGTCCCGGTGCAGCCACTCGTGGAGGCAGCCTTGTAAGTCCGACGTCGACAGCTCGAGCCGGCGCAGGCTGGGCGCCGTTGCCGGCGTGATGCCCGCCAGGATGTCGCCCACGCAATCGTCGTCCTCGGGGTCGACCAGAGGCGACTTCAACACGCTCAGCACCCGGAGGGCGGGCAGCCGCGGGAGCGCGCGGAGCAGCGGCGCGCCGATGGGTATGGTCAAGATGGTCAACTGCTCCACGAGGGACTCTCCGGAGCAGGCCAGGGCTCTCAGAAGACGATCGAAATGTTCATTGTCGCCATCGGCGTACTGAAATTCAAGGGAAACTGTGCGCAGCTGGCCGGCTAGCAGTCGGAGGAATTCGACAGCCCCTTGCACGACACTTTCGGGGGTATAGTCTTCAAACAAGGACAAGGACACGGCCGTCAGCATCTTGCACGAGGCGAGAGCCTGCATCCCAGTAAACACCGTGCACGTTAGCCTCCTTAGTACGGACAAGCCAACAAACGGCTGAAAAGTGCCCTCTTCTTCGAAGTATTGGCAGCCGAAGTCAACCTCCTGTAGGGTAGCTGCGTGCCCGGCCAGCACAGTGTTCACGAAGGTCGCAGTCTCCTCCGAGAGGTAGCAACGAAAGTACTTGAGGGAGGACCTCGACGGCCCGTGGAGAACGGGGCGCATGACATACTGCTCGGGCAGACTGTCCGTAAGGTCAAGCGACTCTAAGCCACGACACGCCACCAAGGTCCCTAATAACGCGTCGGCATCTTCGAGGGGTGCAACCGGAGCAACGTCTTCGAGTGAATAAGACACATGTAGTTGCACGCTCTTGAGACGGCCGAGCACCTCCTGCCTGAGGAGCGCAATACAGGCCCGTGCGCATTCAGTGCCCTGCCTAACACGCAATGTCAAATGTCTAACGGCACACCTCGTCATGGTGAACGCTCGGGTGTGCACCTTCTTGCTGTAGACGGCCCTGTCCAGGCACGGCGCCAGGCCCAGCACCGCGCACACGCAGGGCTTGTCCTCGTCGAGCCGTCGGTGCGACCATATCTCCGGGTGCAGGGCGAGGTCACGGAGACGCCTGCACACCAGCCGACAGGCGAACAGGTCGTCCACGGCGAGGTGCTGCATCATTAGGACGAGGACGTCGTCTGGGAGCTGCTGCAAGGTCAGCTGCTTGGTGGACATTGTAGCGGGTATGTAGTCACCTCCTTTACTGAGGAGCGGCGACCCTACAACGTTCGATGTCGACATGTCAGTACGTACGCAAAACGTCGTGCGACTCGTCGCAGATAAAGGTCGTTTCCCTGCCCCCCACACTGAACGCATTCGTCGTGTCCGCGTTCGCCTTTGGTCCGCTACACTCGACTTTTCGATTGCGACGGAGGACTTCTCGGGCATCTGTCCGCGTGGACTGTGAGGCCCTGAGGCGGACACACGGCGGGCGTGGTGGACATCCGGGACGCGTCCAGCGCGGGGGCACCTCAAGTAAACCAGTTGTAAAGTAGCCTACCTTTGCTGAAGCGCAGCTGTGCGACGTGCAGAACGGCCGCAAGGTTGTGGCCTAACCGTAACCTCAACCTTGAGAGAAGTGGCGACGACGTGTTTGAACGCGAACCGGAGTGGACAGACGACAGACGACGCTGGAGGCGAGTCGCAACGCAACGCCATCTGTCGGGTGGTTACGACTCCACGTCACTAACTCCTTGTCGCTTGTCGCCCGCCACTGGACGGCTACGACCAGCTACGACGCCACGGTCGCGGTCGGCCACGGTTGCCTGTGTTCTTCTTGTGTCAGCTCGCTTTTGTTGGTGCATTATCAAGAAAACAAACAAACAGGTAAACAGGGAATGCAGCTTTGAGACCAAATTTCTGGTGGACATGACTTAGTGTTGTTTTGTGTCCACTTCTCCGGCAAGGGTTACGTTAGCCCTGCCTATACTTGGTCTAGCCTTTCCCACATTTTGGGGGTCGGCTCAGGACGCGTTGTTCAGCCCTGTGGCCGCTGAGTATATTTGTATCATTGTTCACAACTTCTGTCTTTTGTCTAGAGTGTCTTCTCTCCCGGTCGGAAGGTACGTTTGCGTTAGTGATTCGGAAAAATGTTTAGATGAAATCATCTTTACTTCGAAGGTTTGGGGTTATGGTCGTCACGTCCAGTTGTTGTCTAATGTCTCCATAATAGTTGTAAAGAAGTTTTACCCCGGATAGAACCTCTAAGCTGCCCTTAAGTCGTTGTTTTTTGAGGTTACAATTAATTTAAAGTGTTATCAAAATTCAAAATTTAATTTAATGTCAGGAGTTGGGGGATACCATTTAAAATTCTCAAGTAGTAGGCATTTAGTCATGGAATTTGTAACATTATGTGACAACTTAAAGGTATTGTTTTTCACTCACTCATATAATTGTATACCATTTTTGATTCATTCTTCGTGTAGAAAACCTTTGCCTATGTGTGGTTTAGAACACAGCGGCACTTGCGATAAAATACGTTGTGTTCAACCCTAAAGTGGTTCACTATCTGGCATACTCATTATATACACCTCTCTTTTTTCAGTCATGGTTCGAAGCAAGAAAAGTCGTTCAAGGAGCAGATCCCGAAACAGGAAGCCCAGTTCAAGGAGCAGATCCAAGGAGGCAACAGATCAAACACGATCCAGTGAAAGCGCAGGAGGTGATCAACGGAAGGTGTGGCAGCATCAGGAGACAACATGGCAAGAGGAACAAATGGTAGTAAGCTAACATCCTTTCCATTACTAACTTTTAAGAATTAGAAAGTGTAGTTCCATGTCACTTAACAGGTTGAGCCCCAAAGGGGATGGCATCACAGCTTGTTGTGGCCACACTGTGGTCATGTGGCACTAGACATGCTAAGCACAAGGGTTCAGACGTTAATTGTCTTTCCTTTTACAAGGCACCTTCCCGTCCTGTTGAGTACGTAATATGCATTGCTCACACATGTGGCGTGTTCTTATTCCATGGCATTTGTATGGCCTCCCACAGTAGTATTGGCTGGCACGTCGTGGCGGGGTGACTTGGGGATGTGGGGAGGGGTGCCCTCTTCAAGGTTATCCCGGGTTATCCCCCCCCCCCCTCCTT